AACAGCCCGTCCTTTAAATATAAAAATATCTTGCACACACAGTGTTTCTGACATCTAGAAGACTGCCTTAATTACAAGGGCAGTCACTGGGAGGCAGCCAGGCCTGACTGGAGGATGGTGAGGACTTCTGTCTTATTTTCAGCTTTACCTCTTCTGTCCTCACACTCACCTGACATTTCACCAACTAATAGACATGGGAGGTCTAGTCCTTCAGCACAGATGTCCTCCATCATGGTCTGCACCAGCCTTGCAGAGAGCAGCTAATTTGAAAAGCTTTTTGAAAGAACACAGGTTGTAAAAGCATCCAATGGCCAGAATTTAAAATTCAAATGATAAGTTTATACTATTCAGTAAGGCAGGCAAATACAGATGCTAGCTAAAAGGAAATGTTCACCCCTCCCCCCCCCAAATCCTTAAATTGTGATATGATGATTTTTTAAAAGCACATTTTGATTTAAATTAAGTTTATTGGAGTGCACAGCATGAGGGATTACATATATATAGCTGAAAACACCAATGGAAAGTCCCTATATCAGCACATATAACGAGACAAATGTGGTGCATGATAATATGATCCACATAGGATGCCTCCCTTTCTCTTATTCTTCTGCCGAAGTGGGAGGGTGTAGTTCCTAGAACTGTGGTTTAGGAAGCAGACAGTGTGGAAATCTACATCCATGTGAAATTCTGGGAAACTAGTGTCTGGTTTTAGATGCTGCAGTGTTTTCAGACAAATTAGAGTACTGTCACCTGAAAGCCATAGATTTTCCTCTGTGTTTGGCAATCTCTGTGAGCAGTTTCCATGAAGAAGCAGGGTCAGCTTACTGCTATCAGCCACTGGCAGGGACCTCGACCTTTCTGCATGAACCAGCCACATCACAACTGAGATATGAAAGATCACAGTATTTCCTGTAAGTCCCTCTGCTTCAGGCCTCTTATATATTTTGTTGTATATAGTGTTTAAAAACACTGAAGTCAAGAGATTATATCCTAAGGGTAGAATACAGAGGTATGTAGTTTAATAAGGGAAGGAAACAAGTGATCGTAAATTACAGAAAACTCTGCTGAGTTGGGGGTGATATGTATATACAGAAAAAGTAACATGCTTGCAAATCTCTGTTATCATTCATCAACAGAGAAATGAACTCTTTTTTCTACTGCCATTTGACGTATGTAACTCAGTTATAAAAGCACTAGCTGATGTCTCCATAGAATGGCTTTTTCAAGTTGGAATTTCTATCTGTGCTCCCAAGAAAAGCAACCTCAGCATCATTTTTCAGACTAATGGAAAATGAAAAAAGTTAATATAATGCATCCCTGTGGGACTCCCATAGCTGTTTCTATCCGTTTTTATTTATTCATTTCTCCAAGTGTGTGGCACCCCTTTATGTATGAGTATGTCTAAATTGCAATAGAGAATACACGAGTGACACAACTGAAGACTTACGTACATGTAAGACTTTTCCTCTGGAAGGATGACCAGAAACACTTCTAGCATGAGAAAGTATAAAAAATTCAATTATTGCTTCCTCCCCTCCCCTCCCCTTCCCTAACCTAGGAACAACTTCTCATGTCTTTGGGAACTGAAATTGAGGTCTCAAGGAAATGAAAGTTTCTCTGCTTTTCTGCAAAGTCATGTGTTTTTCATACCCCCATCTTTATCTCAGCTTGCATAACTCGTAATAGTCCAAACCTCCTCACTTCTCATGGCAAATCACATGTAAAAGGCGTGTAAAGTCATGACACTGGAGGAGAGTTTCAGAGCTGTCTTCAGCTGGCCTGAGACTCCTCAGCTTGCAACCCCCCTCCCCCTGGAATAATGACTAGTTAATAAGCTAATACATTGTTTGCTTAAAATATATGTGATCATATGCAACAGCTTGCTCAGAATACACATAGTAGGTTGTTTTGGTGCACCTAATCTGAGTCAGTGAAGTACACATTAGTCACTGTCTTCTCACTGGGCGAAACAAACCAGGGAACGGGATGGGATAAAGGCTTAATTCCCATTTAGCTAATATCACACAGGATATCAGCTTTTCCCCCATGGTTTCAGTTTCCCCTTCTTTTGCCTTCCTGAAGAAAATTTTCATGAAACTGTGCTGTTCAGTCTTAATCAGATATTTTACTCCACCTTCTTGAGAGGGAGCAGATTACAGAGCTTTGACATTTTTCCACATAAAAAGTACTCTTCAAATTTAACTTTGATTAATGACTGTCTTCTCTGCCTTCTTTTTGAAGAATAAACTTGGGCCGTTTTATTTTATGGAGTGCTTTTCCTCATTAATAACTGAAGGATTCTTCCTCTCCATTGCACAAACAGTTGGGTAGCCAGAGAAGACTAATTGAAAACCAGCCTGGAAGAATCCTGTATGGGAAGGCTTTTGCTACCACAGGAAATTAAGAAGCTAGAAGGAGAGGGACTGACTTTCTGTGTGATTAAGGCCTATTTATATTCTGAAATGTGCTTTGGCCTAGCTATTTGAAAGTTGCAATTTTATGTAAAGGAAAAATGTCAAGAAAAGAAAATTGTATCATCTGTAGATTCAAGTATGAATTTCTGTGCATGGCTACTCTTGTTCAAAAAGTCAAAGCAAGAACAAAAAGATTTTTATTCCCCAAAACACTAAATACTACATAATCATAATCAAAATCTTTAATGTTTTTAATTGCATTATAGTCAGTGAATGCTCAGAAGAAAAGCTCTTCTGTCTTGAAATGGATTTTGAGTTACTATATCCAATTTCCTTTCCTTAAGAAACTGTAGGCATATTCTGCATATCCATATGATCTTCCATATTTTTGCATTCATACTTCTCCACTCCTGCCTAAAAATTCAGCTATCTCTGTACAATTAAAATCTGAATGCATTTATTCTATGAGGATGCAGCTGCTGTAGATAACAGATATACAGTCAATAAACTTGCCAAGCAACCTGAACTTTTTCTTTGAAGGCTTCATCTGCAGTGGTTATCAATTTGTTGCAGTGTCTGCAATAATCCTCAGCAGTTGCATGGGCTATGAAAACTGGAAATGAAGTGCATAAGCCAAGAGCCTTTTGCCAAGAAAATTTTAATTTGCTTACATTGCAAAAGCATCAAAGTAGATGTTTCCTTGACTTCTTCAAGATTACATCCTGGATCCAGACAGCTTAGGTCATGAGTTTACATCCTGGATCCAGACAGCTTAAGTCATGTGTTTCCAACTTTGTGGCTTGTCTGGGCCTCACTGGCTGAAGAGGAATTGTTTTGGGCTGCATATTCATAGGTTGCTCTGTAAGTAATGCCTCTTGTGTATTTCCATGGAAACTACAATAGATACAATGAGTACAGTAACTCTGCTTGATAGAGAAAATTCTCAGCTACAGAAGAATAATTTGTACCATACTTGCCACTATTAGCTACATATTTTCACCATCAATAAATAAGAGCCTGCAAGCCATGTTCCTCAAAACCCGCAGCAGCTGAGGTGACTCACTGTCACTGTCACCACTGCTGAAATGCACCACCCACCACCTCACTGTGCTCATATCTATGGTTTGGTCTCCCTAAACATTCAGCAAACAATGACAAATGCCACTGGCTGCCTTTCTTTCCATATGGAGGAATTCAATGGTATTCCCTTGCTTCATATGCACTTCCTTGTCAAACATCACTCTGTCAAACTGCCCCTCCACTGCTACATGTTTCATGACAACAAAATGTAATGGAATATTGGTAGGAGGGGTCAGTCTCTACTGTCATACCACCAATGTATGTATCTGATGTCATGGGCCAACATAATAAAACAAGAGGCATTACTTTTGGAGCAGCCAAATATAATATAGTTAATAAATAAGTAACAAAACAAATTTTAATTTTTAATACTTCTATTAGTACAGTTTTAAAAAGAGAGCAACAAAAGCATAAAACTAATGGTATATGTCACTTTGTTTTTTCAAACCAACACATCAGTCTGGTTCAGTGGCCGTGGTCACAATTCGTAGTGAGTTCTCAAGGTGCTCATCAGAGATTTTTGATGAAATTTTATTCTTCCTGTGACTCATTCTTGACAGCAGTTGTTCACAAATGTGCACACTGCCCAAAGAAATGACATGAATAGAGAGTGATTGTGAAGAGAGGGATATTTTCCTCTTGAAAAAGTCTGATAAAGAGCCATTACCCCATTTTTACGTTGAATGTCTGACTTCAACTCTACATATTCAGTCTGAAAAATATATTTATGTTGAATGAAAGTGGAGTTGTAAGTATAGCAAAAATTTGATTATTTCTTTCAGCAATCTTGAAACCTGTTCTAAAACTCCTTTATCAAAACAGAAACAAGTCTGCATATTTTTTGCTGTTCACAGGACTACGTTTAGCCAATGTATCAAAATGCATACAGCTATCTGCCATAACTTGAGTTAGCACAGCACAGTAAAAAATAAACTTTGAGCCATCTTCTGGTATTTCTGGATGAAAAAATGTCCTTCAAAATAATGAGAGAAACTTCTGCAGGTGCCAAGAATGAGATTCTTGACCAAGCTGTAGCTTTTGGTTAGGACAGGCGACTGAACATCTCAGTATTCTGCAGGTTAGAGTGAGCTGCTCTATGGCTGAAATGCAAACTAGTCAGGATCAAGACAGCTGTCTAGACCATTAACAGCTTGTTTCATTTCATTCCACAGAGAAATCCTATGGTCAACCCCAGCCTCCTCATCTCTTCTCTGATCTAACTCCAACGTGTCTGATTTCTGCCCTGGACTCTCAAGGATATAATCACCCAGGTAAGAGGTAACTGTAAAGCAGGTATCATGTATAGTGTGGAAAAAGGGGTCTGGGGGGGGGGGAGGAGGGTTCAGACTCCTTGCAGTTCACCTGGAGGGGATGATGGAATAGAGTGTAAACCCCAATTAATTGTTTCTGCTAGCAAATCAGGAAAGCAAAAAAGATACAGGAGTGTGTGCTGAAATTCTTCCTTCCCTAACCTGTATCCTCTGTTCCCTCTCTTGTTTTTTTTTCTTGTACAGTTGTGTTCTGTCAAACCTCTTGTTTCATTTTAGTATTTTGTAAAGCCCATCCCAACTTTTATTCCTTGTTTATCAGTAAGAGGAACAACACAGAAATAAAACATCATGGTGGCTTTGACAAACCTGGGGCAAAGAAGGTAAAAACCTCTATTCTGACTGAAGGAAGGAGGTGGAAGGGATATTTCTTTTTTTTTTTTTCTTTTTCTTTTTTATGTGTGTGTATTGGGTGGGGATATCATTGAGTATGAGGAATGAGGGATCCCAGAGCCAACTTTAACATGGAGTTAGCTGTTGTCTGTGCTGCCTCCAATTCGGGATGATAACGATGCAGCTTGGAAGCATGTGTGATTGGGTTTCTGTGGAATGTGGCACCAAAACCAACCTGTAGTTTGTGCCAGTTAGCGCTTTGCAGATCATATTGCAGAGCTGGGCCCATGGAAATCTGAAACCGCGGGAAGAAAAAAGAAAGATGACTCCTTCCACGAATGCTTGTGCCCACATTTTGCATATTTACATCATCTGCGTATTACTTGCATCCATCCATTACAACCATCACTTGCATATGTAAATGCATGTCAAATCTTGTGACTCATTCCTCTGCCCCTGAATTACATGTAAATTGCCAGTGGATGGGAAGGCACTGGGTTGCCTATTTGGGTCTCTGCACTGATACCAGCTGTGGGGAGTGAAGGGAATCAAACCTGCCATGCAGAGCTCTTACAGCTCCACAGTAGCAACCCACAGTGCTTTGTGTCAAGGGTCAGGCAGAGAGGTATCACAAATTTATTTTTGTGCATGCTTTCTTAAATAAAAGTGTTTACGGTTTAACACTTTCATGCCAGTATTGCATTTCTTTTGGCTGCGTCTAGCATGTGGGCTTGGTTCCTGTTTACTAGTTACCTTGAAAAGAAAATTTGGGTGTGGACATTACTAAATTAACAGCCTCCACTTAAGCGTACATTGCAACTGAGACTTTTCTGGTTATCAAGAGTCAGAAGTCCTAACAGCTGTCTGTTTTCCCAGCACTAAGACCAGTGCATCTTTCAACTTTCATCTTGGCCAGAAAAGCTGTGAAAACTACATTGTGGCTGAGAAGCTCCTCAAACTCTGCTTGCAATAAGCTAAAATACAGTAGGAATATTTGGGCAGCCTCAAACACCACCTTAAAGGAAAGTTTAGGACGCTAATGGTAGGAGTGCTGAGGAGCCAGTGAGTACATACTAATGAACATAGTTACAGCATGAGAATTAGTGCAGTTACCACTATACAATGATATATTTCCTGGTATAAAAATGATACCTTGTACATCTACCAGGGAATGAAAATCAGTTCAGTGCAGCTGACTGGAGTATGTGTTGTTCCTATGCAGTGCTGTAGTAAAATGTAGCACTTCTCTCTCTAAGTATCTTCAGAAAAAAAATTTTCAGAACCAAGTATAGTCAGAGGAGAGACATCAGTGTTGGTTTCACCTGCATTTTATCAGAGACAGGAGATGCAGAACATCTTTAATAGACTTCTGTGAATAACTGATTATTTTGTTATTCAGCAGTTCAGAAATTGAAGTACATGACTGCACTACAAACCATTCTGCAAGCCTTCTTTACTCTTTAATGTATGCTGGGTCTCTTGCTTCACTGGTCTTTCACAAGAGATTATTACTCTTAGTATTTCCAACTTCCCATCTTGCTATAGTAGGATATAAAGTGGATTAGCAGATCTGATGTGAACCATCACTGTGCCCTGTGTGCAGTTCTGTTCAGTAATCAGATGTGTTAAAGCAAAAAAAAGTGGAGAGTTGTTGATGTACAGAATTCTTTCTGCAGTAATGATGGGAAGTCCTGCATTAGACTGTGGTACTAACATCCTTATCTTTTGAAGTCTTGCTTCTGTCAACAGAGTAAGGGCTTGAACATGTTGGTTCCTCAGTAAATACTCCTTCCAAGACTCCTTGCAGTGATTGCCTTGCCTTTGCCCTGAAGTCCCGCCCCACAAAAACATACAACAGAGGGTTGATGCAGCTGTTAGCATATGCAAGTGCTACAGAGAGGTGATCCCAGAGGATCAGTGACTCCTTCAGTTCTGTACCAGGAGTAGCCACAAGGGACAGAATCCCAACTATATGGTAGGGAGCCCAGCAGACAAAAAATGCAACTACCACAAGAATGATAGTTCTCAGCATCTTGCTTTGTGGCTTACGATAATTACTTGCACGCATCCTGAAAGCAATAAGGGCATAGCAAACTGCCATTATGCAGAAGGGAAGTATGAAGCCAAAGACAGCCCTAGTAATAGTTATTACAGTTAAAGGAAAGGGCATGGCATAATCATTACCACTGAAGACACTGTCAAAATCAAGCAAATCAAGAGGAGGATCAAGTAGCTTTAAATTGAAGTCATTGTTGGATGGTACAGGCAAGTTGGTGTTAGGTAGATCACTCTGAGATTCCAATAGCCTGATGTCAGGATAGGCAGTTGAATTTAACAAGGAGTTCACATCTACAGTGGCATGAGAAAGGTGAGCTTCTGCAATTATGCCTTTGTTGGTGGATATGCTGTTTGCTTGAAAATCTAGGTAGCTATAACTATCAGTAGGCTGATGAGCAAAGATGGTGCCAACATATGTGACAGCTGGTACTAAAGGTGAGTATTCTTCCAATAACCCAGTTACAGGATCACTGTCATCCATATATTCTAGTATTTCATAATCTCCAAAATTGTACCCACACTCAGTTTTTCCACCATCAGTGATTGTGTTGCGGTAGTGAAAGACAGGACAGCAGAAAATAAAGGCCAGGATCCAAATGCCACTGCATAGTAGTGAAATAAACTTAATTGTTCGATGATTTTGACACCAGACGGGTTTCATCACTAGGAGGCACCGGTCGATGCTGATCACCATAAGTAGGAAAACACTAGCAAACATGGTGAAGATTATGACTGATGGGATGACTTTACAGAGAAACCAACCATATGGCCAGTGTTCGTTGAGGAACAAGTGAACAATGAAGAATGGCAGAGATAAGCAGCACATGAAGTCAGCCACAGCAAGGTTTAGGAACCAGATGATGTTCACAGACCTCTTCATTTTCAAACCAGCTACCCAGATAACCAACCCATTGCCTGGGATACCTATGATGAAAACGAGGATGAAGATAACCAGGGAACCAATGGATTCTGGTGCATAATATATAGCATCCTGTTCATGTGAACTGCTGTTAACCAGGAGTGGAGGCATTCTGTAGTTAGAAAACAGAGAAGAAATTAGTAGGCACCTCCCCAGGCTTTTTGTCTGTACTGAAGAATCTCTGAGTCAGGAAACGGTACTGAGTTGGATGGATACAAAGGCATCGGCCTGTACTTGTTTGCACTAAATGCTTACCTCTACTAATCTGGAAATTATTCAGCTTCATCATTCTTATAGTGGCTTAGTTAAGCAAAGTCCACTATTCAAACAGGAGATCTGTATGCACTTATATTCTTCTATTTCTGTCATCCTTTTTGATTTCAGCGTTGTTCTTTTTATTCTCTTTTGAAGTTCCCACTTTATTTATATGCCCTCAAAATCACCATTTTTCTTTCCTGATCAACTTCCTGCTTTGTATGCAATTTTCTTTTACAGAATGATGTCAGCATTTTAGTTTCGTTTCCCTTTCAAATGAGCAATCTTTTCCTGGTATAACCAGTTAAATAGACATAGGTTGAGAAGGCAATGATTATCTTACTGGAATAACTCTGCCCCACTTTCTGGAAATTATAAATAGAATGGATAAGACAGCAACTCTGTTTGTTAAAGGACATTTTTAAGGAAGTCACAGTAAGCACTTCCTTCTCCTTTCTTTTCTAGCCTATGTCCTGAGCTCTTTGCTAGATCTTTGGAAAGCTAGTCTTGATGAGAAAGGCAAGAAATAAATGGTTTAAGAATGACGGAGATACAGTTGAATAAAAAAGAAATAAGGAGCAATAGTAATACGATTATTGAACCACTTAGGTTTAAGAAAAGCTATTATATTGCATGAAAGTGAAGCTGAGTCACAGAACATCTTGGAGTGGTTTAAAACTGTGAGAGGTGGCAGTAGAAAAACTTGATTTGTTCAGTCATTCTTAGATGTAGATGCTAGTTAACTAAGAAGAGAAAGTTAAGAAATCTAGAAAAGCAAAAGCAGGTCAGAGAAAAAGAGCTTAATACTCATCTTATAAGCTTTAACAAAATTGTTTTTAAAATCCCTGTTAACTACAGTCTTGACAAATCAATGAAGATGGTTATGTTGCTGAATGATCAGTAAAAGAATTTCCAGAAGGCAAAGAAAATGCATAGGCAAGAGTTGAATACAACCTGCACAAGTAACTGAGATTACATGAATAAGAAAACCAAGGCTGTTTCTATTTAAACCTCTGTTATGCCAGTAATGAGATGCCAGTCACAGACTGCTAAGTGCAGGTCTAAATCTATGCTATTATTAAAAATAAAACAAAATAAGAACAACCACATCCAAATAATCTTTCTCTTTCTTGTATAACATATAGTCTAAAGATGGAGTACATCACTCCGGCATTTGAACTGTTCCATCACAAAGAAAATTATGTAAATGGTTACAACAGACATTGCAATTAACATTTTTTTTTTTTTTTTGTAATAACTGTTCACAGTCTTTTAGGTGAGTTGACGTGCAAGGAAAGCTATGAAGTAAGTCATTGGAAAGCAGCAATTACGAAGATGGAAATGAGAACTGAAGGGGGGGACAAAGGTTTTCAAGAGTGAATAATATGAAACTGCACATTAAAGTAGAAAGCAAGACTGTAGCTTATTGCACCTACCTCAGTGAAGCAAATATTGCAGTGCATCAGGGTACAGGAAGCATCGGTCCTGTGTCCAGAGTGACTGCAAAAAAAGAAGCTCATTACATTTTAGGAACTGCTTTTTTTCCCTTAATTTGCATGTGTATGCAAGGTAACCTTCCCACCCTGAGGGAGAGGCTTATAGTGTCTCTTATTTGAAGATTTAAAGGCAATTGGCAGGTAAGTAACAAAGCAAGAAAACCATAAGAAGCGGTTTCAGCGCTGTCAAAATGAAATACTGTCCTACGTCAAAGAAAATCGGGAAGCTAAAGAGTGATAATCACAGACGCATACTTTAAACTTTCCATAAGAAGACACAAAATCTCAATGCCAAATCAGTTGTCTTGCCTACTAACGTAACAGTGAAATGTTCTTCATTTACTTCACAAATACAAAACCTAGCGCAATACCATCAGGTGTCTGATCTGTTGTTTTGTAGCCACTTCATCTTTTTTCACATCAGTACGTTCATTTAGCTCATCCAGTTTCTTATTGTACTGGATTCTTGACAATCCAGATCAGCTTCTGTCCCAGCCTGAGTTTAGTTCACAAAATACAGAACATTGTACTCAATAAACCATAATTGCATGTATCAAAGATCAAAGGCATTTTAGTCTGTTTTGTTACCTTTCCGTACAGCAGATACGGAAAACTTTATTATTATTATTATTATTATTTTTGTGCATGCGTGCATGATTTATTTTTTTTTTTTAAAGGAAAAAGAAAACGGAACTTGGCCTGATGAAATGTTAGAAATGGTGGATTGGTCAGCGGAAATGTTGATACCACAAAACGCTGGCAGGCTATAAGAAAAGCCAAGACATTTAAAACAAGTAACAAGAGAGTTCCCCCCAACACACCTAATCTGGGAAGTCGAAAAACTGCTAGCAGGAATGGCAAAGCATGGGTGTACAAGAATTGGCCTCAGTACTTTGATTTCAAATGGAAAATGAACCATAACTATGGGGAGTTCTGCTTCAAAGCATGTTATCTCTTCTGTGCAACACACGAACGCTGACTCAAACACAAAAGCCATGTAACCACAGACAGGAAGACAGGCCAGAAATTCGCTGTTCCCCTAAAGATAAATGGACTATTAGCAGCCTGCAAAGACAATTCCTCTATCTGTGTCTGTTCTCAGCTGCTGTCTTTCCTGAGGGAATCCAGAGACCTGGTTAGAAAGGGATCTGTGCACTGGTGTCTTGTTGAGAGGAGTGTATTCCTGTGTGTTTCTGTTGGCCAAAGGATGCACATACTTTTCACTAGCATGTGACTGGCTAGCTCCAGTCAAACTTTTCCTTGCAAGAAGACCCTTCTATACCAGTCTATACCAGATCAGGTCTGATTCCTCCAGTTAAAACTTCTCCCATTGCAACCCTGTCACAACAAGTACATTACATTTAGTCCAGCCAGCTAATTCTGGACAGTGACAAGATTATGAAATACCTCATTGTGTATGTTTCCAAGCCAACTGAAATTTGAAGCAGCTCCACTAGTAATGTGTTTTGCATCCACTTCAGAATGAAAAAGCTAATGATGTAGGCATTGAAAGGAGATGGCATATTTTGTTACTATCAGAAAATGGTGACTGATCAAATTAGACCTTTGATAGCAGTTGGGATGGCAATCCCAAATCACCACACTATACTAATTTATTCTCTTCCAGATTTCACCCTTCCCCAGTTGTTAAAGAGTCAGCTTGGAAGGTCTCTAACTCACAGAATCACTGAAAGAACTTCTGGAGGTGGTCTAGTATACCCCACTGCATCAAGCAGGATTAGCTAAAGCAGATTACTTATGACTGCTTTAAGTTTCCACAGAAGGAGGCTCCCCAGCTTTTCTGGAAATTCTGTTCCAATTTTCAACCACCCTCAAACAAAAAAGTGTGTACTTTTGTCTTTCAGTCGGTACTTCCCATTTTTCACTTTGTGCCAACTATCTGTCACCATACACTACTGAGAAGAGTCTGGCTCCCTCTCCTTTACATACTCTAATCAGATAGCCCTGAGCCTTCCCTTCCCCAGGCTGGACAGTCTCTGCTATCACAGCTCGTTCTTGCATGAAAAGTGTTCCAGTCACTTAACCATCTTATTGGCCTTTCACAAGCCTCACTCTGCGATGTCCATGTCTCTATTGTACTGGAGAGCTCAGAACTGCAAACAGCACTTTAGATGTAGTCTTATCAGTGCTGAGGAAGGGGAGAATCCCTTTCTTGTGCCAGCTGGCAGCACTTCTCCTAATGTAGCACTGAGTGCCGTTAGCCTTAATAGCTATGATGGTGCATCACTGGCTCATCTTTCAGCTTTTTTTTCACCAGAACCACAAGACTATCATTCTCTGCAGAGCTGCTTACCAGTCAGTTGGCCGAAGAATGTACAAGTGCACTGAGTTGTTTCCTCTCGGGTGCTGGAATTTGCACTTCCCCATCTTGAACTTCTTCATGTTTCTTCCTGACCAATTCTTAGCCTGTTGATGTTCCTCTGAATGCCAGCAAAACCACCTGGTGTGTCAGCCAGTTCTGAAACATCTGCAGACTTGTTAAGAGCGCACTCTGCTTCACCATCCAGGTTTTTAATAAAGAGTTAAACAGTACTAGAATGAGTGTTAACTGCTGCTGAATACCACTACTGACTTGCATCTACTTGGATTTAGCTCTTCTGATTACAACTCTCTGAGTCCGCTACTTCAGTTGCTTTTCGATCCACCCCACTGTCCTCTTATTTAGCCCATACTCCATCAGTGTGCCTATGAGGATGATTGTGTTGAAATTTACCTTGATGGTAACTATCAATTGGCCACCACAAACAATTGACTAAAATCTTAATGCAAGTTACAACTGACATTGCTTCTTTCAGATGTTACAAAACTGCAGCAGTCTACCAGTCACTGAATAGTTAGTTACATCCAAAAAAAACCATCAAATCATTGAAAGGTTTGAGTTGGAAAGGAACTTTGAAGATCAGCTAGTTCCAATTCCTCCTGCAAAGACACTCTTTCCACTCGAATGGATTGCTCAAAGCCCTATCCAACATGGCCTTGAACACTGCCAGGAATGGGGCAACCACAGCCTCTCTAGGCAATCTTTTTCAGTATCTAACTAGCCTAATTATGAAAAATTTATTCCTTATATCTAATCTAAGCGTACTGTAGTTTAAAACTACATTTTGTCCTATCATTATACTCCCTGGTAAAGAATCACTCTCCGTCTTTCCTGTGCAATGAGGTCTCACTGGAGCCTTCTCTTCTTTAGAGTAAATAACTCCAACTCTCTCTGCCTTGTCTTCATAGGAGATTGGAGAGGTGTTCCAGCCCTTTGATCCTCCTTATGGACCTACTCTAGACTTGATCCAAAAGGTCCATGGCTTGTACCAGGTATCTCAGTTCTAAAAGTATTATTCCAGACAGGCTTTCATGAGAGTGGAGTAGAGGGGGAGAATCATAGACTTGCAGAATCATAGAACGGTTTGGGTTCTAAGATCACCTGGCTCCAACTCCCTGTTATAGGAGCTGCTCCCTCTAGACCAGGTTGCTCAAAGGCCCATCCAGTCTGGCCTAGAATGCTTCCAGGGTGGGGGCATTCAACACCTCACTGGACAACCTGTTTCAGTGTCTCACCACCCTCACAGAATAAAGAATTTCTTCCTAATATCTAGTCTAACTCATGGCCCTTCTCTGGACCCACTCCAACATCCCGATGTTTCAGAACTGGACGCAGCACTCCAGGTGAGGTCTCATGAGAGCAGAGTAGAGTGGCAGTATCCCCTCCCTCAACCTGCTGGTCACACTTCTCTTGATGCAACCCAGGAGATGGTTGACTTCTGGGCTGCAAGCACACAGCTAATGTTGAATCTTTCATCAACTGACACTCCCAAATCCTTCTCCTCAGGGTTTCTGTCAAGACATTCTCCATCCAGCCTGTAACCGTGCTTGGGATTGCTCCAGCCTGGGTGCAGAACCTTGCACTTGGCCTCATTGAACTTCATGGGGTTGGCATGAACCCACCTCTCAAGCCTGTCCAGGTCCCTCTGGATGGCATCCCTTCTCTCTAGTGTGTCAGCTGCACCACTCAGCTTGGTATCATCATTGATGCCCTTCACTCTGGCCATCTTCTTTGGATGCAGCTCAGGATAAGATTAGCTTTCTGATTTGCAAGCACACATTGCTGGCTCATATTCAGGTGTCTCTGCATAAAATTCTGTTAAAAAACATGTATAGATACAATGGAATTCAAAAGATAAATACTTTAGGAAGTATTCAGCAGCATCTTGAATACTGAGTTCTGTGTTGATCCTCTATCACAAAAACAGTTCTGATACCAGAAATTATATAGACGACTGGACAGTCATGGCTCAGAATGGCTTCTGGTGGACATGCTATACAAGTGAGAATGTTTCATCTTGTGAAAAAGACATCTAAGTGATAGCGTGAAAGATGAATGGAGAAGTCAATTTGTGGAGGTGTCTCACTGTTGCCACTGTTGAAATGCACTACCCACCACCTCACTGTGCTCACATCCACTGTTTGGTCTCCATAAACATTCAGCATACATTGATGAATGTCACTGACTGCCTTTTATTTCCACATGGAGAACTTCAATGACACACCTTTTCATCATACACACTCCCATATCAGATATTCATTTCAGGGGAGGCGGACTACATAACCTTTAAGGATCCTTTCCATCTCTAGGGATTCTATGATTTCATATTTCTATATCATCTAGTCTTTTATTTGTGTTGAAGGTGGTTATTTTTATGTCTAAAATATGGAGCATTTCTATCATGACACTACATTTCAGCAACCTGAGTCTAACCTGCTGTGGTTAGGAGAAAAAAATAACCACACAACTCACATTGAAACTGTCTTGAAGTATCTCTATTTCTCTAAGATTGCTGACTGCGTGAAGTCAATAGCTGTGCCATTTACTGTATGAAAGACTGAAAGGGAAAAGTAACAAATAATGTGTTAATAGCTGCCATTGATGTCGGCTGCTATAAACCATTTTAGCTGCTAGATGTACTGCAGAAAGAGTAATTTTCTGTGAGAAAACACAGAGTAAGAGCTTTAGGAAAAGATGTTCAACCACAATAAACTAAGCCAAAATGTACCACGAGGTTTCTACTGGTCAGAATGCACTGCACAGGGAAGTGCTGTACAGGTGTGCTCTGCATCCGGAAGCTAG